AAAGAAAGTATTGATCTGCCATGAGGGATTTAAGTGTCAAAACTTAATAAAAACTTAAAAGAAAAACACCAATTGGTCTGTAAAATATATCAGTTTGTAAAGGTATGCACATTAGAGAAGGCTAAACAGTTTACTTTATTGTCTCATAAAGGCCAAACATCCATAAAAAATGCAAATCAAATGGATGGTTTTAATATCAGTCATGCAGCATGCATAACCATATGACCCATGTCAACTAGCGCGTTGTTCACTGAGTAAGGACAGTAACTTCAGGAAGCTGAGAGGACGTTTAGAGTGATGTGTTAGACAGCCGAGCTGTCACTGCTGTTGACCTCTAAGTCATTTTACACAGGGGATTATTACCTGTTATACATTTACTTTTTTATTATAGACAAATGATATAACTTTATAGTTCAAGTGCATGTGCCTGGTTTCTGATTTACATGTCTGACAGCAATTTACATTGATTGTAATATTTAATCTTTAACTAACTGTACTGAACAATCTTAAACTGGTATAGAATGCACATGCCATCATGTTTATGTTATTTAGAGGAAGAGGCATTGGTTGCAAAAACTTTAAAGGATCTCATCAGGAATTTTACGACAAAGCCTTTACTAAAAACTCTAAAAGGGTTGTTTTTCTAATCTTTTGTAGAGAAAGGGTAATGTGATTTAGAGGCAGGCCTCTGCTTCCACTCTTAAGTCCTTGGATGCTGTTTATCACTCTGCCCTCCGGGTTTATCACTGGAGATGCTTCTAGGACTCCTCATTACATCCTGCATGGAGAAGGTTGTGGTTTCCTCAGTCTGATGGATGTGATGGGCATTTGTATTTGTTTATCTACAAGTCTCTTACATCAGGAAGCTGCCATTTTATATTACTTCTTGGTTTGACTGGTGCTCTGGATCATATCAAATTCAGTCTCATGACTGGCTTACTCTGGAGGTCGCATACGTCTGCACTGAGCTGGGAAGATCTGCTTTTACGTTCTTTGCTTGGACCACCGTGAACTCTTTACAAAGCACCAGAAAGATGTATTCGATTTAAAATCCATGACCACAAACCATTCAGCTTCTGTTTCTACCTGGTTTAACTGATTCATCTTTTGTTAATGTTTCTCAAACTTTCACTAACTGTATCTATATATAGTTGTTTTATAATTTGTGCACTCTTATGTGATTTTAAACTGTTGCTCAACATCATTGTAGTGAAGACCAGCCCTTAATGACTTCATGAGTTTAGGCAATAAACTGCTTTTTTAGTGTTCAAGCACATTTGCCAATTCATGATCTAACCTTCTCTCACAGTGAAGCTGCTTGTGATTGCGCACACAGGCATAACTTTATCCTCTCTGTCTAGTTAAAGTGATATACATTGCGACTCCTGGGACGTCATGTGGACACTGGAGACCAGAAGTGGTTTGTCCATGATGCTAAACCAAGCATGGGACAAAGACAAACAAATGTGTGCCTGTCCAGAAGAAATACGAAAAGTCAGACTGGATGCAAATTAGATGAAAACGTCCCCCTCATGTGTTGTTTAAACGTCTGCCAGGGCAGCTGGGCACACACCAGTCAATGCTCATAGGGTGCTGGGAGACAAAAGACAGTGAATTGCTGGCGGGGGCCACTGTGTAGGACAAAAGATGGGAACAGCCTTGTGGGGCATACTGAGGAGCGATACATAAAGTCTGTGTAAAAAGGTGCTGAAGAAATTAATCAATGTTGCTTTTCATAGCAAATGCAATCATAGCTTTAGTTTACTGTATACAGTATCAGAAGACAGACGGAAGGAGTGTAGAGAAATGTGGATTTTATGCAGCTTAGTTTAAGATTTTAAAGTTAATATAAAAACAGTCATCTACTAATTTAGACAAACATGTCAAATCTGTCTCTTCTACACTTAAAGACATAAGTGGTTGAGATGCATAGGTACAGTGTAAAACCATGACCATTCAATTTTCTCCTAAAACCTTAAGTGATATTCAAACACTTTTGATATTTGAGCTGTGACTCTATATAAAAACCCTGCGTTAGCAATAAAATAGAAATATGAGAGAAAGAAAAACAAATAGGTGATAATGAACCTGCTTTGCCATTGTATCCTTTTAAATACCTATTAAACTTTAATATGCATACTACAAAGTAACAAGTACAAAGTTTATGAATCAGAAAATAGATGATGGATGAATTTATCAAGTTAGAAATTGTTTATTTAAGTTTCACATATGAATTTTACTATGGGCAGATGTCTGGAACTATTGTATTTGAGATTTTCAGCAGGTTTGTTTCAAATCAAATGCAAAAAGATTTCCCCTGTGATGTTTCTGCCAGTGACAGGCAAGACAAATATTTCAGAAAATGAAGGAAATTAAATTTAAGATTTGTTAATACCTTCTACCTAAAATTAAATTAGGGATTTTAACCATTTTCAAAACAGTCCACCCAAAATGCAGAGACCACTGAAGTAGGGCTGGATGATATGGCCAAAAATTATATCAAGATCGTATCAGTCGATGTTGATAATTCTCATAATAAAGGTCACATTATTATTATAAATTCACAGACTGATGCTTTGTTTAGCTTCAGTTATTTGTCTTTAAATCTGTGTTTATATTTGGCTTCAATACTCTGCCTCTGTCTTTCAATCACCTAAAACATAAAACATTGTACTGTCTGGTTGCTGGACCTTCATCTCACTGCAATGAATTTATCCTTCATCTATTTTGACCTGTCATTATTCTTATGCTCTTGTGTGATACTGGGTGACTACATGTCATCATTAAAGTATCGTTCTAACTTTGTCAGGGAGAGGTTCAGTGAAAGTCTGTGGAAACTTCCCTCACACGCTTGTATCGTCGGGTGAAACATTTCTCCAACATGTCAGACATTAGAAGTGAACTCCACCACACCCTGGCTGATCTGTACCTTCTCGTCCGAGCACCTCTTGAAGAGCGCCTCCCGGGCCTGCAGCTTGCCCTCCAGGACGCTGTAGTCTCCATCCTTCTGGTCGAACTGCTTCCTGTGCGTCTCCACCTGCACCATCAGCTCCGAGTTGCGCTTCTCCAGCCGACTCCGCGCCGCGTCCGTGCGCTTCACCTGCGTCTGCACCTCGACCAGCTCGTCCAGCAGACGGCCGTGCTTGCTGGACACCGTCCAGTAGTTGAACGACAGCACGGCGATGATCACCATGAGGAAGATGAGGATGAAGGACGGGAGGCGGCCTCCTCGTCGGTTTGCGCTAAACCCAACCATCCCCACTGAAAATACCCAGTAACGTAACTCTGTGTCGTTGCCGCAGCCTCCGGAGCCCAGTGAGCGCGCTACTCTCCCGGTGTCAAACACATCCGTCTACGTGACATGCCGAGAGCATATGCGGCGAAATACAAACACTACACACGGACAGGCATGAAGCTGGACGACATGTCTACCGTGCGTCACTGTCCTTCCACCTTCCGCACACTGGGCATATTCAGTGCAGCCGCTCCGTCCTGTGTCAGTGGGTGAAAAACGCCCGCGGGGACGTGGCCTAGCTCAGCTGGCAACGTTACACACGGCAGAAGAGACGTGGACAGCGACGCTGCTCCGTGGCAGCGCGCGCGCACACACACACACACAGAGCTAGCTGCGCCACGTTAGCATCCAGCTAACGCTCTTCTTCACGTGACTCCCTGCAGGTTTACATTAACACGCGTGGCTCTTTACACGCAAAGCACCTCCGCTGCTGATGATGATGATTCTAATGTCAGACCTGCGGTTGGTGTTAGCTACCAGCAGCTAACCAGCAGCTAGCTAGCAACGAAGGATGCAACAACACAAGCAGCTTCAGCTACGCGACAACGAGTAGTGTGTCTTCCAGTGTGTGACGGAAACACTCGCGGCTGCACAATGAACCAAATCCTGCAAATCACCGAGCAGCACGTTTTAAATCATGATCTCCTCGAGCCTCTGAGCACCAGGCGTGATGTCTGCTCTGAGCCAAACTAGCTGCAGCCTCTGTCTGACACTTCCGCCATGGAGGCGAACCTGCATTTCAGAATAAAAGTAAGAAATCGCGTGTTTAGCAGCACAGAGAAAGTGTGTTCTTGGCTTCTTCTTGTGTCTGGCTTTGGTTGACACGTGTAGGCTCAAAGTCTACACTCATTTAAAAGGGGTTTGAAACCTACAGCCTCGTAGTGAAAGCGATCAATCTGTATGAAAACGTAATATTAATAAAGCCAACAAAAAAAAACAAAGACCGGAAGTAGCTTGTTGGCTGGAAGAAGTAACTTTACAGTGAAACGAGGCTTTAGATTTTTATCTACTAATATTTTGGATATTAAGTAAATGTTGTCAGCCCTGAGATAAAAAGCTGAACACAGGTCACAGCTGTGTGTTGAAAACATGTCATGCTTTTGGTGGCTTTATGTATTTCACTTGCATATTAAATTTCCATGTAACTGTATTACATAAATTCAATAAAGGATCATGTTTAAGGAAGTGTTTTCTGTCATGTTAAGTTAGTTTGAATACATCAAATCACTTGAGTGATAAATAACATCAAATGAATCAGGTAAGGATTATCTGGATTTCACTTCTGTAAATCACTATGAAACTTACCTGAGAGTGAATTGTTGACAAACCTCTGTTAATGCTCACATATTGTTATAATTGGTATTTATCATAAGTTAACCCCTTTACTTTTACTACCTTTTAATATTTTCCTTTTCTAAAATCTTATCTTTTATCAATGCTTGTTTTGCCTTCTTTGTCATGATTGTAATGCACTCTTGTTGTTTTTAGTGTGATATAAATAAATCTGACCTGACTTAATATTATTTACTCTCCCCTCATAACTTTGGTCTAGTCGGTCAAATATGTTTCAGTGCACCACTAAATATAACATGACTGTACTAAACAGTGTTTCTGTTATTTTGACCAGCTAAGGTGAGTAGATGTTCCTGATACCTGACCACTGACACACATCGTTGAAATGAGAACACAAACCACCAGATACAAACTCTGATTTTATTGTAACACTGAAAAGAATCGCAACACAATGAGGTAAGTTAAATAATCCACATCTGTGATGTTTTTGAAACCAGCGACACCACAAAATATTCACCACCCAATCAGCAACAGTTCCACAAAGTCTGCAAACGATGGCGAGTAACACGTCATCAGTTCAGTTCACAGTTTAATACAAACAATATTTCTCTCTGCTTCATATGAAGACGAGGAATACTGGAAATCTTTCAATGACAAACTTACCAGTTGTACATTTTTTGAAGAGATGAGACTCGGTAGAAAAGATCCCCTGAGGGAGAAACATTCTTTTGATTTTCTGATGAGAAAGAAGCCTCTACAGACACTGGCAGGCTCAGTCTGAGTGTGCTACCATTTCTGCTGATGACTTGGCACGGTCTCACAGGGCACTAAGAGATACAATGTGAGAGCATTTCAGTTTGCCTATGCTGCTGTCACACTGTACAAATAAATTATCTCACAGTGTCTGATCACTCTACAGACATCTGTGGCACAGCACAACGTGTCTGCAACTCTTGCTCACTGAAATGCCCTCAGAATTTTTCACCCGAGTCCTTGTTGGGAGGAAGGTCAGAGAATAGTCTCTCTGTACTCAAGGCTTTGTTCAGATGAGGGGGAGTCCAGTGGGTTGGTGGAGGCGCTGGTTGTTTGTTGGAGGTGTTTGGGACGGCACAGGGAAGGGGACGGTGATGAGCTCAAAGCGCCGCAGCTCTGGAGGTGAAGATCCTCACAGCCTCGCTTTCTGGGACTGCCGATGATGCGCTGGGTCATCACCTGAGCAGAAAAATATTGCCAGTGATACATTTTAACATATCACTGATGTGAACAGAAATACAATACAACTCTCTACAAATGTTGCTGACATGCAAGAATCCAATCAAATTCATTTTGTTGTGACAGAAATGCCACACTTTACTGCAGTGAGATATATCTCACTATGAATTTACATTACAGAGAAAAAACTGAAAATACTTTAGCATTTTTCCACTGTTGCTGTAGTTATAATGCTATTATCATCACAAATTGCAACAATGCTGCCATGTTTTATTTTCCATAAAATAGACTAGAATGGTTCTGAGTAGAGGACATACAAGATCCATGAATTATTCCATGAGAAATCAACAAAAATGTGGAAAAATCTCACCATGTAAAGAAAATGAAAACAACCCTATCTTCCTTGGATCATGCATGTGCATTAGACTATCAGGGTCTGTTACAGTATGTAACGTGTGATCAGTTACCTGATCTATGACATTGGCACTGAAGATGGCCTCCTCCATGTGTTTCTCGTCCGACTTGATGACGCACTTGATGTTGTTGACGACCTGCTGGACCTCAGGAGGTAGACTGCAGTTTGAATGCTCCAGGAACTTGGCAACCAATATTTTGGTGTCTTTGTACATCTTGAGGTCGGCCAGTGAGTGTGGGCGCTCGTTGGAGGAGTTTGTGTGCAGGGCTCGAGGTTTGAGGGGGATGTCAGTTTTCCTGTCCTCTTTCTGCTGCTTCCTGACACATATGTGACCCGGTTTAGCTTCACCAACCTCTGCTGTCATGTCTGAAGATAAAACACAAGAAAAACTGTCAAAACATTGAATTAAAAAAATCACGGGCATCTCTTATAATCAAGTCTAATGCCAGTGACAGTGTCTGTGTCACTGATTGAACACATTGTCATCAGTTCATCAGCTCACAGTTGCAGCTCAGTTAAAATAGACTGAGGATTCTTTCCCGATATGAATTCATGTAATCAGACGACATAATGTAACATTGGGGGCAGCACAGAGGTTGCTGGTTCAAATCCCAGTTTGATCACTGTCATTCTGCGCAGACAATTAATGTCCTCCTGTTTCTACAATGGGTTTTCTCTGGGTACTCTGGCTTCCTCCCACAGTCCTCATCCCATAAATTTCAAACTGTATGTCAGTACCTTGCTCTGGTGACGTATGAGCTGAAGCTTCAGCAGCAGGATTAGTGGCAGAGGCACCGCCACTATTTTCTCCTGTAGAGGGAGACAAACACTTAGTCTTGACCAAGAAAGCAGTTACTGGGTAGTGATCCTGCCCTGTTTTATGTCAATGCTACTAATTATCAATCACCATTACTAAATTCCAAGTTATTTTCTTTGTTCTTTGTTTTGATCATAAAGGTCAGAAAAAAGTTTTCTGTCACATATTTTCCAGCGTGATGTGTTGATGTGTGATGTTTTGTTTGATTAATAGTCAAAAACCCTGACAGTCAGCTAACAACATTATGAAACATCTCTACACTGAAGAATTTGGAATCAAATAATGTTGCTTTAAATAATTAGTATTTAAAAGCTTTAGTGTAAAACTTGTGAGACATCCTTGCCACACTTACTTCCTGTTGCAGAGGAGCAGGAGATAGGGTCACTGGTGGAGCGGACAATGCGTGCCAGCTTGCGGTACCTCCTGGCTGCTCGCAGCACCCGAGGCCTCTCTGAGGGTGAGTAGCCACTTTGAGCTGAGGTAGAGGGGGGTTGTGATGTCGATGAGGGTGACCAAACACTGAAACACAGCCTGGGGCCGCGTGGTCTGCTCGGAGGGGAAGGGGAGGGAGAAGGGGCCAAAGGGCTGATGGCTGAAGTTCCACCAGAGGAAGCCACTGAGGTGGGGGAACAAGGCTGAGGTGGTGGGGGGATAGCAACAGGGAGCATGAGCTTCCTGCTCATCATTCGTGCTTTGATGAGGGAGTGTGTCGGCGGTTTAGGCGGCTCCTCTGGTAAATGTTTGGCTGAGGCGAGCTCGTCACAGATGTGCACTTTGGAACTGAGTTCCTCACAGGGGTGTGTGTTGTCTGTGGAGTCCTCCTGGTCCAGATTGCTAAAGTTTTCTGAAGACCAGTCTGGAGAGCGTTCCAGAGACTCCTGGGTCTGTGAAGACTCACTGTATCCGGTGTCACATGGGCGAACATCCATGCTAGGCAGGCCACGATGGCAACGTGACGGGTCACGTGTACAAAGTTCCAGGCTGGTGCAGCTTCCATCAGTGGGGGCGGTGTGGGGCGTGCCGTAAGGAGAGGAGTCAGAGCCCTGGACCTCCAGGGAGCACAAGTCCTCTGAGGAGCAGGTCTGGTCCTGATCAGCCACCTCGGACACCATCAGTGATGCACTGTCCACTGAGGCTGAAAACAGAGAGGAAAAAGCAGGATTAGCACATCTACTGCGAAACAAAACATTAGACATTCTCCTGTAATTTTCAAACTGTCTTTACCCTGAGTGCTGAGACCTGCAGTGGTGTTTCTCTCACATAAACTGGACCCAGTGGCCTGTTGCTCTATGCTGGTTGTGACCTGTAAAGAGAAAAAAATAAACACTGTTCAAGTAAAGTGATTTTGAGTGGATTAAGAAGATGATGGAGAGAGGAAGTTCAGTTCATATTGGATATTTGATTGCATAATAATGCAGACGACACTGAAATACCACTTTTTTGTCTGTAGAGGGCTCTGTCAGACCACAATACTATAACAGGATGTCAGGTGTACCAAGGGAGAAAACCACACCATCATCTTAAATAAGAATCTTTAATTAGCTGCAATGATGTCCCCATCAAGGTGCTGCATATTACATGTATATGTTCATGTAGCTTGGTTTGCCAGATTATTCATTGTCTTCAGTCTGAAATCATCGCCTGACTTTCCTCTGCCGTCTCACACAATCAATCGATCACTGACTTCTTCCATTGGTTATTTAAAGCAACTGTTTATCTACAGCAGGTAAGAAAATCCTCTGCTGGTTCCTGAAGGACACGGTTCAAAGTGGATTTAAATACAACTATAGGGATTTAACACATGTAATGGAAAAAGGGGATTAGAAGACTGAGCAGTTTATGAATATAATAGAGGATGGAGGGAGACTGGCTTTCACATTACAGGCAGTTATTTTTAATTGTGAACAATGAGATGCAGTGAAGCCTGAAAAAAGCTCTGACCATTTTTCAGGATATATGTATATTCTCTCCCAATTAAGTGAAAGGGACAGTTATCTCAGACTTTTAGATCCTTTAGTGGAAATGCCATTTACACCAGTAAAAACATAAAAGAAAATAAATAACAACAAATGTTTTGACTAGCTTTTTAGAAATTAACTTCTCATTCACGTTGTTCAAATTCACTTTTATACTCAGACCTATTGTCTATAATAACGTATATTTCAAGTTTCAGATCTTGGGCTTAACCTGGAAATCTACTTCTCTGAAGATAATCATATTAGAAAAGTGATTAAAAAAGTCACAATTTAAAGAACATTTAAAGATAAGCCCTATTTTCAAGCAGGGTTGTATTGCTCCTACTCCTATGAAAACATAAGTATGAAATATAAGTAAGGTATTATATGTGCTGCCATGCACTCAGTTACCTACACACAAGTCTTGTAGCCTGTTTTAAGGACAAACTAGTCTGTTTTTATCTCACCTGGCTGGCAGGGGTCTGCCCCACCACAGACTCATATGGAGGCGGCAGGTCCGTTGGGTACAGGGTCCCAGGGCTGTTGATGGGCACCCCGTAGATGGCACTGAAGGGAGAGTGGGGAAAGTCCAGGTGGAGCCCTCTGCCGGGGACACAAATGTTGAGTTTTAACTTAATAAATGAATAGCTACAACACAAAGCATGCAGCAGCAGTCTGAATATAAATCCTATCTGGGTCTAAACACAGTCGATGGTCTATTGAAACCATTAAGAGAGAAAGAATGAGAAATATCCTCTTGCTCCTGCCGCTCCAGTCCAGATGATTTAAACCGATTCTGTATTATTCTGTGTGCACCACCACTGTCTCATATGGTGCCAATTAAGATCACGCAGCCATGCTCGCAGTAATATCTTTTAATTACAACCCCATTCTCCTCCAATGTGCCAGAGCATGAAATACAACCTGAGAGTTTCCACCAATCATCTGAGGATGATGATGTCATGACACATCCCTGGCCCCGGGCAGGGACACCATAAATGCTTCCTCTGCCTTGTTTATATTTATGGCATAATTGACAAACTGATGTGGCTTCCTGCCAAATGGCTGCATCAGCAGCACTCTCTCTGGCAAGATGGAGAAAATGGAGAGAGTGAAGAGGGAGGGGGTCAACCGATCTTCCACAACAGCTGAGAATCACCGTGATGATGATGATGATGATGTCGCAGCTGCTTAATGGAGGGAAAAGCTCAGAGCTGGCTGCGGATGATAATACCACATGTGATGCTCACAGTCAGATAGTAAACAGTCGCATGCCACCGCTTCCTAATATGATGGATTTGGATTTGTCTCTGGAAGCAAATGTTGGATCTGGCATCTGTATATTCACCTTCTCACAGGAGATCACAGGGTGGTTAGTCCACATTAACTAAATACGTTAGAGCTGCAAAAATCCTTTAACTGGACAGATAATGGAATGCACCAGCAAGAACAAGTTATAGACTTCATCTTTTCAGCTCCTCTGAAATGAACCCTTCTGTTTCTTTTCTTTGGTGTGTTCTCCTGAGAGCTTCTCGCCTCCAGTGCCTGACCTATCAGCCCCATGATCAATTTTTTTAATAACTTTGCTCCTTCCTCACTTTATGACCATTTTTATTTCACAGTCCACTACCTGATTCATTACAGGTGTCTGTGGCAAGGCGGGCAAGGAGCTGCAAGAAAATGTTCCAAAAAATGAATCCTGAAGAGTCCTAAATCTTCAGCGTGTGTTATCATGGCACTGGGCCATGAACGATTTATCGCTCAAAGAAACCAGCAGAATTCTAAAACATATCAAAAAGTTTGAGATAAGCAGAGTCATTAAGTCTCCCAGATGTATTTAATAAAAACTAATTGCTGGAATCGCGACTGACATATGCATTCTCACTGGAAAATTTGGGGAAAATGTTGGGGCTGCAGTGCATGTCTGAAGGCAGCATAAGTAACTGAAATTCAACAATGTGAAGAGTCACTGTTAGTTAAGGGAGTGCCAAAGTATTTTTGGTAACAAGGCATTTATAACTTTTCTGGAGGGGTTTTGAAGTAGACGTCTGTGCACAATTACACAGTTTTCTAACAGTTGCACTATATTCACTAGGAAGTTTGTACATGAAACTTTTTTATTGTGTATTGAAAGTATGCACATATCCCACAGGCCACATTGGTACCAGAGTTCGGGGAGCCCTGAGAAGAGATGGGATGCTGATGAGAAATATTTTGCGTCTTACCTCTGTCCATCCATCGAGGGGGTGCAGGTATACTCTGGGGGGTAGTACGGTGGAGGAGGTATGGGAGGAATAAACTCATCAAAGTCCAGAGTTTGGTGGAGGATGGTTCCATGGGGGGTCATGCAGTCAGCATTTAGGGCTCGTGCTCTGTGTGGCATAAACTGAAACACAGCATGAAAAGAACCACTATCAGAGCCTGTTGTTGTGTATTCATTTAGACATAATGTTGTTAATTATAATGACTGAGCATATGTAATATTTCTTACAGCGCCTCCCTGCTGTCATTGCAAGCAGTTACATAACACACCTGTGCTGTTGGTGCCTTGCTCAGGGGCAACTCAACAGCAGATTTCTGAGCGCATTCATCCTCCTCACTCAGACTTTTCTAAGTGGGACAACTTTCCAGACACAGAACAGCCTGCCCTTCTAATCTCCAGGCTGCCACTGCGGATATTGACTTGGCTTAATTTACGGAGCTAAATAAAAGGTGAACACCTCACGTGGTAAATGGGACTGGTGGAGATAAGACACAATGCCACCGTGTTCAGCTGCCTCAGATTACACCTGCTGCTGTGTATGTCTGCTCTTGATTATACTGGATCAAATACTCTCTTTTTCCAATTTTGTGTAGATCTGCTTAACAGTTCAAGTTCAGAGTCCAAAGTGTTTATTGTCATATATAGAGTCCTGTTCAATGAAATTATTATTCAATGAGTTATAAGAAAGTGAGAAAAATATAAAAATATTAATATGTATAAAAGAGCATCTGTGCAATGTAGTGCAATTGAGTGCAATAGACAGTAAATAATGTAAGTCAAAGTGTGAGCTTTAGAAAAAAACCTTAATTTCCCTCCGGGGATGAATAAAGTACTCTATCTATCTATCTAGAAAATGTATTTATATCTATGAGTCTGCAGTGTGAGGCTGCTCTGACAATGATCTGTCAACATCTCAGCTAATCTATGCTGAGCACCGAAGCAGAGGCTGCTGCAAATCGAGGCCTTTTGTCAAGATGAGAATAATTTTTCAATTTCCATTTTTAATTGCTGTGTAATTTAAAAATCTTGTGATGAATTCATCTTTGCCCTCTGATGACTGTTTGCCTATTCTTGAACAGGAATACATTCTGTGTAAAAGATCTCTGATGCACAATGGGCCTCATCCACTAACTGTTAATAAGACATGTATTCTTAAAACCCTCTTATGCAGTATTTACAAAGATTCACCAATGTTTTCTTATCTGGGATTTGTTCTTATATAAGAACAGAATCTATGCACACTGAAGAGCACTCTTACGCACACTTGACAACTGAAATGCTTGTGTAAAATAATCAGTTACTGGCCCAGCATGTCTGGTCCCAATGGTCCCATCAGGCTCAGGTCGAGTATCCACAGATGCTCAGCTGAAGGTTCACCTGCAGTTCTGTGTTTCCAACGATATGCAGCTCCAGCTCAGATAATAAACTCTGTGCACCTTCCTTTTCTTTTCCCTTCACCCTCTCTCTCTTCAGTGTTTGACAATATTTATTTCTTCCAGCCTTACATCAAGACCGACCACAATCCACAAAATTTACAGCATAGTTTATTAAATGTGTAAAACATTTTAAGATCACATATTACTGCGAAGCTTTGCCATCATGTTGGCGTGTTTCTCTACGTTTCCAGTTGTTAATGTGTTTAGAGGCATGCTGGTGTATAACCCAAAGGGAGCTGGCTGTGCTAATTTCCCTTGTCACTGACAGCATTTAGCTGTTGGTAGCTGTTTGATTGTTGCACATACATAATGACAAAAGAGGTTCACACTGAGAACAATGTACCTTAGGCTCTTTTCTTGATTAAACGATTTAAACATTATTCTCTACCATTTCAAAACCAATTGCATCATTCCTGAGATGCATGTGTTTACAAAACCATCAGGATGGTCACTGAAAAGAAAATAAAGTCATCTATTTCCGTTGCTGTCCCTTCCATCACACTCACCATCTGCAGCACATCAGTCGAGACCATCTGCATGCAGCACATGGCTGTGGCTAGAGCACACACAATGGTGGAGATGACGTTGAGGGCACACACGCTGAACAGCAGCTCCTAAAGTAGAGCAGGGAGAGGAGGAGGAGGCTGTTAGAGAGCGACCAGTGGCAATAGTCAGAGAATGGATGGAAGGAGAAGGCGAGAGAGGAAGAGAAGACATTATGAACCTACTAAATATGAGGGATAATAGAACAAAGAGAGGTGAATGTGCATTACAGTGTGAGGAAAAATCACAGAGGATTGAAGGTGGCACAAACGGCACTGACGTCATTAAGGTAACCAAGTTTAGAAAAGCTCAGCAGAGCGGCACTGCAGTGAGAGAACACTTCTACTGATATCAGATTTACTAACGCAGCCCAAAAAAAGGTCTAATCTTCATGATTAACATATTTACAATAAATTTCAAAAGGTCTGAGACTGAAAAAGAAAGAAATGTCTTTGTATAATTCAGCTTAACAAACAAATTCAATTACAGTGAAAAAATAAACCTCTTAAGTATCCAAGGTTAAGCATGAGCACACACACATTCACACTGTGGTAATGCAGCAAACAGCAAGGGGACAAACCAGTATTGAATCTGTCAGCAAAAATAAATGTGCACACTGGTGAAATACTAAGCTCAGCACCCAGAATCAGAGGAAAGACTTATGACTGCAGTCCCATGATGATGCTCTTTGTGCCATTTGAATAAAAGGTGGACATTTATCTTCAAATGGCTCAATTTATAAAACATATCCCAACAAATGGACCCATAATAACTGTATTGTATGAATTAGGTTCCAGAAGAGGAACAACAGCACCATTTTGTCTGGAATTTGGTTCTGGGGAAATAAACGGTCTTGCACACAGAGGAGGAGAGGATGACAGCAGCTTGTATTGCAGCCTTAAAGTGAGAGAAGCCAATTATCACATATGTGTATCAAATAGTTGGAGATGATCTGGAGTCGTCTTGAAAGTTTGAATTCAACAATAAACTAAAGTGACACTCATTGGAGCACACACAGTAGTATAGTATAGTATATATCATAATATTATAGTATACCTCTTCCATGACACAACAGTCTCCTTAAATTCAATCAAGCTGCATCAAATTTCATCTAGATCTATGAATTATTCTCACAAAGTTTCAGGGAAACTGGCTGAGTAGTTTTTCATCATCCTGCTAACAAACAAATAGATGGAAACATAACCTCCTTGGTGGAGGTAGATATGTTATTGTTCTTTTAAGTTCACATGGTTCATCTGTCATAATAAATTCCCTCATACAGACACCATGATGATGTTATTACAAGTACTATTGTTATGAAACAGTATAACCCTGTTAAAAGATATGAGAGAGCAGGGATGGGGGTGAATGTGTGGGACAGAGACTTTGTGATATTTTAATTTAAAAATCTTGGAGCAAAGCGAGGCAAAGTAAATCAAAACACCACAGAAATCCTTCAGCTCTTACATCTATGACCATAAACTGACTGCACAAAATTAATATCTGTGAATGCAACAATATTATTCCATCAAGACATGAAATCGTACAATATCTTGTGTGGACGCTGGTTTCTCGATGAATCTCCCACCTAAAGTGTTCCAGTCCGTCGCACAGATGACTCACTAGATTCAAGAGAGAGTCAAGCACATAATTACCAGTGACATTAAAAGGCCTCTTGGTTTTTGGAGATCACTGATGTCTCCCCCCTGCTGTGATCTGTAAAGGGTACTGGTTTGTTTTGAGGGGTGCAGGTACCCTGACTTTTTACAGGAGGTTCCAATCAGATCTACTGATTCACTTTACCTCAAAGTACTTGATGGTGCCTTGGTTAATTTACCAGTCCTGCAACATGTTTTAAAAACACGTTAGAAATCCAGTAACTGGCTGCCAAAGATTGAGTCTGTGTGAGCTGGAAGTTGAAGCAGAGATGAAGCCAGTTGGAACCAGTGAGGTTGAAGTCATGCAGCGCCAACTATAACATGCAACCAACTCATGTTTGTCTTGGAAACTTAAATTTTTGGAACATGGTTTGTGTTTGGACGATGATCTACTTTTCTGTATATTTCTTTAAACTAAGAAAATCACAACCAGTCAGTATATATAGTAATTTAGTCAGTAAATATTTAGTAATTGGTAAAAATGTATACAGCATTTTTACACAGATTTAAAGACCACTCAAAGTGCGCTACACTTTTGCGTTCACCCATTCACACACAAACTGGTGTGGCTCAGGAGAAAGAGAGGTTTGTCTAGGAGGGTCGGAGGTTCTATCCCCGGTCTCAATTACTGTGTATGCGAATGGGTGAATGCATTTATTTATGTACCGTGAAGCACTTTGAGTGATCAATTAATATCCTATAAATACATTCCATTTACTATCAACACACTGCCCGGAGTGCCCAGCTTTCAGGGACAATTTGTGGTTCAATATCTTGCCCAAGAACACTTCAGCAAGCTGAGATCAAACCACCAACCTTTTGGTAAGTGGATGACTCACTGTAGTGTGTAAGATGTGCATTCACCTATTCACACACACATTCACACAGCTCCTCCCTAGCATTCCTCTCTATTACTCCTAAAGCCCATTCACACACTAACAGCACAATAGAAGTGGTTGTCATGGTCACTACGGCAATTACAGCTCCTATCTTGTGTTTCTGCTGTTTTTGCCCCCTGTGTTTTGTGGCTTCCTCCTGTCTGTCTGCCACTGTGTGTGTGTGTGTGTGTGTGTATGTGCCCCTCCCCCTCTAGCTGCCTGATTGCCAATCTGTCTGTACACCTGCCATCTATCAACCCATCAGCCCAGCAGTACATCTACCCTCACGTCTTCATCCACTCTTTGCCAGATCATTGCTTCAGCCTGTTTGGATCAATCTCTGAGACCTGCTGCCGACTCAACTCTCCAACTGCCTTGCTCATCTAGACGTCTCCACCAGCCTCCCCGGCTTCGATCCCCTGCATCGCCTCAACCCACCATGCTCCCCAACTAGCTCGCCCTCCCAAATGCCTTCTCACCTCCACTGACCTCTCACCTCTCCCAATCACATCCTGCATCTGTCGGCTCTTCTGCCTTCACTCCCTGCTCTGCTCCGCCCTGCCACCTGCCTCTGCCTTCTCCATTGCCTGCTGCAAAATTCACTTCCCCCATCCACCACCCATTCCAAAAAAAACCTTTGCAGCATATCTCTATTTGAATCATCTTTTACTTCTGGATTTGGACATTCTGTCTCTGCTTTTAGATTTGGTGAAAATTTGTTTACACAGTAAAAAATGTTTGACTGATGACTGATGCTGTCATAGTCCACTGATTTACTCGACTGCTTTACAATAAAGCTTACGAGTTGTAAAAACGCTAATACAAACAACCTATACCACACAATTATAACTTTATGAAATATATTTGATTTTATGATTGATTGAAATAAAAGAAGTTATGATGTTCAGTGTGATGAATTATCTAGCATTCCCAAAAAACAAGTGTCAGGTCTCTGCATTTAAATTTTTACACCATAGTGAAGTAAAAACTTTCTGCCTCAAACAGTAGGGAAACGAACAATGAAAAACAGTCAATATTATAGTCAAATATATGAGATTTATGGGAACAAAAACACGTAAAAATGCAATATGGGTAATTTGACCCACTTAAGATCGGTATTTAAGACAACTTCAACACATGTGAGAAAGCTGCTGCCTTCTGATAAAACAGATTGCATAGCACTCTGGGCCGTAAACAGAGAGCTTAACTGTTTTTTCACATCACTGATACTGAACTTTTATCTCTCGAACCGTGACGTTCTCTACAAGATACAAGCTGCACACATCCCACTAGTAACTGCTCCCTCCTGCTTCCTCAAATCAAAGGGCAACACCTTGTTTTCTCAATTCACCATAGAGTTTCTGATGATAGTCAGCGCAGGTCACAGCACTGACCCCTGCTTTCCTCAGCCTCCCCGAGCAACTCTTCACAGTGTCTGACAGAAAAGCCAGGACTTCCCCCAGGAAGCCCGACTACAGTTTGAAGGAGGGCGTTCTCTCTCTTCTATAGATTTTCTAATATGCAGTGGCAGGAAACAGAAGATGCTGTGGAACAATATTCAGTTTATTTCACACAACGTAACTACACTGTACATAAATGGAATGTAAAAATATGTGTGAGGTATGGTAGAAACCAGGTGACGGCTCCTTTGTTGATCGGCACCTTGGACAGTTTATATAGATGCACAACATGACAGCTCCCCAGAAGTGAAGCCAAAGGTTCTCAATTGCCCCCTGGTGGCTGGCTGCAGTGTAGGTCATAAACCTAGCCTCCTCCATGTTAGTGGATGAAAATGTGCAATTTTCTTATCAGAAATAGTTTCTAGTAAATTTGTTTAATTAGTTATTTGATGAGACTGACTGGTGATTGGTCAGCAGACAGCTATAATGCCTGCGCAGGGATATTTTGGCTATTGGATAACGGGAGAAAGTGGAGACACAGCATCAGTCTTCAAATACAGTCTATGATAGGTATTGACGCCCTAAAGTTAAGAGCTTGACATTTTCTGGGACTTTGACTAATCTTTATTGATTAATTAATGCTAATTGTGAATACATTTACTGAATTCACATGCTAAATACAGTGCATGTGAGTTGTCTGACTGGATGTTCGCGGTTATAATCTTTCTGCAACTTTTACTCTGAAGACTCTTCCCTGAGACAAAGCTCTACGATTACTATACAAAGCAGTAACCAATTGTGTCTCCTTGTTATGTGCTCCAATGGTTTATTGGGGTTAATGTATTTTTCCTCAGCGCTTCTGTAACAGCAAACCTGGAGATCAGATCACAAATTCAAACTGTAAGCGTCTCATTAAAACAAGAAATATTTATGGCGGCTTCATCTCAGCAAATTTTTGTTATGGTAATACATCTGCCTTGTGGATTTCAAACGGTGCATTTCTGTGATTTCCCTCGTGAGCACAATGTAAATAATGATAAATCCTGCAGTCAAATGTAATAACGCCTCTACAGAAAACTGTTTAACATGCCCACTCAACAGCTATTTAACCTCTGGAAGATACCTTGCCCCGAGCCAATCAGTTACAAAGCAAGGTTACACATCCGTTGCCCCTTTACAGGAAATCACAAATTATCTCAATACTTGCACCCACTGATTATTTACAGCCCCAGGCAGCGTGTAACTAAGAGAAAAAGAACAGGGAAATTAAATATGCTGGCAAAGGGCAAATGACACATATCAGCAATTTCGAGAGGGCTGATTGCTTTTTTTAAGAGCTAAACTTTTACATGTCGGAAAGCTGTTGTCTATACTGAGTGAGTGAACAACTGAAGGTCTATTACTGAGGCTACCTGCTGTGAGAGCACTGCTCTCCCCATATGCTCGATATTTTCATGACAAAGGATATAGCAGCTGCATCATGAGGTTATTAGGATCAGTGGACGTCCAACAGCAAACTGAAATGACCAACGACTCTGGGGACATGGCCACTTCCTCTTAGACATAACTCACCACAGTCTGACTACCTTGGCTCTTAATAAAGGTTTATAGTATTAGCAGCAATTCCCACATCTCTTTTAATGAGCGATGATCACAATGACAAATGTGCTTGATCTTTCCTCTTTTCATACGCATCCTTCATCCTAAGAAGTCTTTTATTTGGTTATCAATGTTTTATAATCAATCAGGGACATAAAATGAATGGATATGATTGTCGTTATCCACTAAAGGCCCCGGCAGCACATTCTGTATATCATTCCTGCAGACACTCGGAGTCAAGATAATCTGCCAAGATCATGCATTCTCAAACTACAGCCAGCCCAGTTCGGATACACAGTGCATACTAAGAGGTCTGCCGCTAGGGGGAAGACAAATGCTGTTGCCATTCTCAACTTCCTGCCCAATTAATCTGAGACTGAACTCTTACATTGTTTTTATATTCCATGTCATTTTCGTGTTTTCACATGGGACGTTTCACAGAGAGAGATGGAAACCTGGAGACAGCACAACGTTAGCACACTGATATGTGTTAGCCATCACTATAAATACATAAATATTACTTACTTGCAGTTATATGCCTCCACCCATTAGTTGGGTTGCAGTTTACATCCATTTTTGTCAATAGTATCAAAGAGTATAAATCTATCAATCTAATTCAGTAACGCACTGAACATGCATGCAGTTTTCTCCAATGTGCACAGAGAGGGCAGGTGTTAATTTAAGGTCTATATGCTTGTCGCAGTAACATGCACTGCAAAAGCGGTATGTACCGATGTTATGTCAGGGTTTGATTTAACTTTATGGATGTTTTAATGGTCCAGTGGGCTGTGGATGTGCCGGCAGCCAGTCTGACTGAGAAAGAGAGCAACAACGGGGCAAAGAGAGCTGCACACAGTTCTAAGATACAGCACAACAACACATGGGCGTTAGGGCCAAAAACATGATCTGTGTCAAAGTGACCTTGACCTGTGATCACCTAAATGTAATCAGTTCATGATTGTATCCAAGTGAACAATTGTACCAAATTTAGAGAAATTACTTCAAGGTGTTACTGAAGCTGCTTTCAGACGTTCCTCCTAGTAAGAAATCTGTGGACAGTCAGGAGAATCCGATGTGAGAACACAGCAGGGATTCACAGCGAGTGAGTGGGGTGGTTGATGACGCTTCTAACACGTGACACACGTAAAAAAGAGGGATAAAAAAGAAAACAAATGTCTTCCAGTGACACAAACACAGACGAAGATCTAGAGAGTTTGTGGTGATAAGTAAAGTAAATACGTAAGAGTAAATACGTGGCTTCCTGCCGCTGTCTGCTCCACCTCTCGCCTGAATAATGCAGAAGATTTGTTGCTGTTGTGAACGTGCCTGTGCAGAGAAACCCTGGCTGTGTTGTCCATGTGTGAAAGGAAAACTCTGAAGCCAATTCTCCGGATTTTACCTGCAGGTCATGTCTGAAATATCACGTTCAGATGTATAGACAGACAGCCACTCATAAACCAAAATGCCTCCGGCCATGGCTACCACCAGCACAGAAACTTCAAAACATTGGACCAATAAATAATTAATTAATGAGGCTTGAGCCTTCCTAAAACAGCTGCAGGTTTGACCTGACCCTTTGCTGCATGTCATCCTAGCTCTCTCTCCCTTATCACACTTAAAGGTTCAGTGTGTAACATTTAGGTGAAAAGGTTCTATTGGCAGAAATTTAATATAAAATTATCCTAGTGATGTTTTCACCAGTGTCTTTCATCTCAATTGTACACATTGTTGTCTTTACTCTTGAATGGGCCCTTTACATTTAAATCATTTATATTTACTTCGGGAGCGGGACCTCTCCACGGAGTGTTTTTTACAGTAGCCCAGACTGGACAAACTAAACTGTAAAAAGGGATACATCTTCATGAACTGAAAAAGAAACCGCACCACAACTTAAAATAAATATGATGCAGTATGTTGTTACCATAGCTACCAGCGCAGATAGGTTAGCTCCCTCGAAACAAATGCAATGTGTAGCTTGATTTGCTAAACATGTAATAACCTGATATGACAAATGAATCCAGTTTTCCTGCAGTCTTAAGGTAGTGTAACTTACTCAAAAGGTTTTTATGTGTGAAAACACCAAAGCTCTCACATTCAGCACTGTGCACACACGCTGGCTCCAACCCACCTTGAGACGTAGGCGTATTGTGTTGCAGTCCCTCAGTGGATTCAGTTTCAGCATCTCGCCCAGGTTGTTGCAGCTCGAGCTCTGCTGCTGTAGCTCACAGCAAACACACACTCCATCGCTGTCAAACTTGAGCTGGTGGGGAGGAGGGGGGAACACACATCCACACTCATGCATGCACGCCACATACACAAAAACACACACACACACACACACACACATGCAGACACAGAAATATGCACACACAGATCAGACCTGAGCTTGGTTTTTCCTTGAACATAACATTTATTCCTGATTAAAAAAAATGTTTTACTATGAAAGTATGTAGTTATAAAGACTGAAGACACGTAAGCAATAAAATAATAATATACTGTGACTGAGAAAGGCAGCTGCACATCGCAAGTGTTCAACACGACAGTAGTGAGATGAGGAGCTACTGAGGGAAGCATCGAGGTACAGCGTACCTCTGCTATGTGTCCCAGATTGAGAGAAAGCAGGACATGAACCCAACAAGTGTGGGTTAATTACATTGGGGAGAAGAGATAAGGAACATTAATATTTCAGTCACAACTGGGGGGTGGTCTCTGAGGAGCCATATAAAGCAGAGAAGTTGGTCTGATCTGTTGGTGTGAGGAGAGAAGCTGCTGCTAATGTGGAAGTGGCCGGGTTAGTGGGTTGGGTGCTGGATGAAACACATGGGGCTTCTTCAGTCATGAAAAAGCTCAGGAACCCTTTTTGGAAATCGACTTAAACAATCAGCTTTACATCTCATTACAAAAATATGCAGACTGAGCGTTCTTGTGTTCAACTTCATCTGGAAATGTGATCGTAAAGCTCCCCAATCCAAAGAGTGACAAAATTAAAAAAGCTTAGAATCATGAATTTTCTAAGAAAGAATTAATCCTGTTAAAGATAAATCAGTGTTAAGGGCTGAGATGCTTCTTAACAGAGCTCCTAAGGGGAAAACTATTACAAATAGGTAGGAGAACTTGTGAGAGGCTTAAGACTTTTTTGAGCAGTAGTGAAAATAGGTTAATCAAGTTATTTTAAATAACCTAATGCTTATCGTTTTTGAGTAAGTTGTATTGCACCTTTGTGTGAAGAATCCTCTTTGTGTGCTGCAAAACCACCCTCTTGCTTTCAGACTACAACCCCTCACTGGGAATGAGGCGTTAATCGGCTGGGCTGCATTTTCAGAGTTCATGCAAGGTTTTAGACTCTGTTGAGAGGTAAGGTCACCCTGAGGTTTTACACTCAGCAGTCAGAATCACTGTAAATGCTACTGGCAAAGACATTTACTGTTCTCACTCTTGAAAGAGATCTCAGTGAAACGACTTGGTTAAAACGTCTTAGACGAACAGAACGTTTCAAACTAGAGACATAGAGTAGAGAGAAACTGGTCATTCACCGTATTAAACTAACAAATGGTAAAAATGTTATGCATGATCCATTGATTTGGGGGATATCATAAAGCCACATTATAGACTCAAATTCTTAGGATGAGACAGTTTGCCTTTCAATATGAACTGAATCTAAAAAATGACAACATGAGGAAGTTTAAAATGTTTATAAAAGTACTTCAAACTAAGGGTCAGTTGTACTAAAAGAACTAGTTCATGCTACTTGTAGCTAAAACATACTATTGTACTCATGTGTATCATATGTGTGAAAGCACTGTTTAAGCTGTTGCCCCCTGCTTCATTAGTTTTGATAATTTTTCAGATTTTCTCTTTTGAATTGGCCAGAAGTACAATGGCTGGAATGCTCTTTCTTTTTATCTGTATTTTAGCTGTAGCTTCACTTCTGGCAAAGATAAATGTGATAATTATGAACAATTAGTCACTAACAGAGAAACAGTCCAGTTCACTTTCATCGCTGACTGTTCTGCAGCCTGCTGGGAACAGAAGTTCTGCCTGTCAGTCCGCCACACGCCAAAAATCATGTAAGTGTAGAGTCACATGCAGACAACACTGAACAGATGCCTATTACTCACTGACTTTGTGACTAGTTTGACAGTTGATAGCAACTACCTCACTGCAACAAGAAAATTCAACACAAGCTGTGAACTTGACATCTTTCAGCTTGTGAAGTGATCAACTGATTCCAGACACAAACCCTCTGAACCCTGACCTGCTTTTACCTTGAAAAGGTCTATCAGGCCTGTGGCAGGGAAGAGTATGTTGGGCTTCTCAAAATAGTTTTTCAGGTTTAGGAGTTTCAACATTCAGCTGTTATTTATACATGAATGAATGCCGAGTGTCTGTGTTCCACGAATGCAAGATGCATGTTGACGGGGCACAACATAAAATAGCTGATCTCAATATTTTTTATCAAAGGGAGTTAGGCGTGGCCACATCTGATTCCTGTGCCGGGAGCAGGGGGTTGATTTCACCTCTGTCTATATGAATACGAAATAACTTTAAAACACATTGATGGATTGTCTCTAAACTTGGTAGGAATATTACATGGAAGAGTATCTCCAGGGGATTACCTTTTGAAGCTGATCGGATCTGTGCATGTGCGAATGTGTGTTTCCTTATAATAAGCAATGGTTAACTAAGCTGGAAATATTTTAAGTTGTTTTAACATTTTAGTATCATTATGAAACTCATATTATATATAGGCTGTACATAGTCGACAATTCATATGCAGGTTATGCATCGCTCTTCCTTTGCTTTTAATTTTTTTTCTTCTTTAATAGCCTTTATTTCATCCCTTTAAAGCAGATCTGCACAATATAAACTGCACAACTTTGCAGATACTATCAGTGAGATATCTTCGGAGAAGAAGTGTGATATATTGATGCGTAATATAAAGTTAGAGAGTGTGTGAGTTAAAAGTCCAGTTGGTCTCACCAGCTGACAGTCTTCCAGAGAGTTGACCAGCTGAGCATTCTGGCAGGAGAGGATGGAGCCCGCCAGGTTGAGCATCACACACACTGCTGACAGCAGCATGAAGAATGTGATCTGTCAGAGAGATGGAGGAAGAAGAGAGAGATGTAGAAAAAACAAATACAACATAATGTCAAAATGTTGCCACTTAACACAGGCTCAAAACTCTTTCTGATGTTGCTGTAACACCAGAGACACTTCAGTGTGTTTCAATCAATCGTCATCACAGAGTTTTTTACACATCACCATAGAAGAAAAAAAGTGTTGATGTCAAGAGGAATCGATAACCTGTTTTTCCTCAGACCTCAGAGTCTGAAGACGAGAGAAATCATAGTTACAGAAATTTCATCAAATGACACAAGTAACAATGTATTGACAGACACAGACCTACATGCACAAACCCTAACACAGACACAATATTTCTCTATGCCTCACACTGACAGAGAGGCACTTTAGCTCTGATGTACTTCCCCTGCAACAGTTCCCTTGGCTCCCTCTCCCTCAGGGTAAAGCCTTTAATTTTTAGCTCCTGGCTGAAACACCTGTGGATATCAATCCAGTTAGCAGGCATATAACTGTCATTTCTGGTAGTTTAAATTACAGGTCAAGCTGAACAGCCGTAGTTCTAAAGCTGGAAACAGACAACCAGCCCTCTCTGTCCGGGAAAATGCAAACCGGGCACTTGCAGTTTTTGACGGCACAACCCATTGTTTTGTGGGAGCTTGATGGCAGCAGCAGAGTTTTACTAGTTCATAATTGGCGAGTTTAATTAAAAATTACCATAATAGACTCTTTTCAAAGTTTGCTTTAAATAAGTGTAATAAAAACAGAAAACCCTGCAGTAGTTTGCCTCTGCCACCCAGTGCAGTTTCAGTCTGTAGACAATTTTTCCACACTCATATGATGTCATTGTGACCTTTTACCTTTGTCAGAAATATAATCAATGAATCTGGTCTGAACAACTGGTCAAGATAGGAAATTGATGTAGGAATAAAATAATCACTACAGGGAGACCAGAGACGTAATGCTCAAGAGGCCATGTTTTCTGAGGCCACATTGACCTTGACCTCAGACCTTCAACCACCAAAATCTAATCAGTTTATCTTTGAGACCAAGTGAACATTTGTACCAAATTTGAAAAATGGATCTTAAGTTGGTCCTGAGATACTGTGTTCACAAGGCAAAAAATAATGCTTTGTGAGGCCATCACGACCTTGACCATTTACCTTCGACCACCAAAATCTACTCAGTTCTTCCTTCTGTCCAACTGAAGGTTTGAACCAAAAGGGAAAATATTTCGTCAAGTCATTCTTGGGATATTGTGTTCAGAAGTCATAATGAAACGATAATTCCTCCGGCCACTAGCTGTCACCTGCGTTGAGGCATGAAGAGTCCTAGAACAGTGTTGGTGGAGGACACAAAAGACACAAGCTGGAGCGGTGTGACACATGCAGAGGTTGTTGAAAAACACACAGATGGAGAGGAGGAGAGAGGGACAAAGGGGCGGAGTGGTGAAGGAACCGGAGGTGGCATGTAATAAACAGATGGAGTGATAAGTTTAAGTGCTTTTCACCACGGCAGAAAATTGAAAGATTGGTAGGTTGATGGGCGAGCCTGAGGAGAAACAATGAAGGATGTCGATGAAGAAAATGCAAACAACAGAGAAACTAAAACATAAGACAGAGTGACGGAGACTTACAGGAGAGAACAGGTGTCTGCAGTCCCATGGTGCACTAGTGGTGATGATGTGATTAATCAGCATTTCATTTAAAAGTGATTTCAGCTGTCTGCTTCTCTGATTGATTAGAATAGAATCAAACCTCCTAGAACAGCACTGAACAATAATTTGGTAAAAATCTTCTCTGCAGGCCACATGAGGAAATGTGGCCTTTATAGACTTTTTGTCATAAACACAATCACAATTTTTACACAACCTTTATTTCATAATAACTTCATGAAGTTTGTTTATACTAACAGGATGAAAATAGTTTAAAAAAAAAAAAGCTGTGTTATCCTCGTTATGGTTGTGCTACATTTGTGAATAACTGGAGGTGTAACAGTGGATCACTTTCTGTTTGACCTGTATTTAAACTATGTGGTTCTTTTAGTAAAATGTCTGGGAGACTGAAATAACTTTGAATGTATAGGAGAGGAAACAAAGGAATTATTACAATTATTTAAAGATTATTTAAAAATTATAAAAAAAAACAATTTATGTTGCACCATCAGTGTTTCGGGAAAGCTTGAACTAAGCTAAGGGAGATTTTATTTGAAGGCTTTGTTAGGAGTGCCACACACACACACACATCACATAGCCGACATTACTGCATTAATCGTGTCATTTTCTGTCAAGTCAATTAACATCATTGTCACTATGACAGAACATGAATATCATTCAATCAATTGGATGTTGCTATAGAAACGGATGTGCTACAGATGTGACAGATTTTCTCTATAACTGTGATAAATCTGATTCTATGTTAACGGGACTGAAGCTCCTCACTCAGACTGGTGGGATCTGTCTGTTACTGTGGAAAAAAGAGCAGAGGTGTACCCATTTAAATGAATGCAAAGTGTTTCCCATCCATTCAAAGTGAGTGTTTTTGCAGATGGTATGAAGTATGACTATTGAAGGGTGACTGCTGGACAACAACAGAAAGCATCTTCATTAATTCACTTGGGGAGCACAGGAGCATTAGTTAGTTTAGTTTGAATGTCACAACAATAGCGAGCATGTCATATATTGTTAACAAGCAAACCGGCGACACTAAAAGCCTCCTTCCTGACACAGTAAAGCCAATAAGTTATTGTTTTTTTGTTAATAGAACCTCTTTGGGTTTGTCTTGTTGCCAGCTGAGACAATCTGATACAGCGCTGCGTCTCAGGTAATAACCAGCATCGACTGCAGTTTTCAACTGAGAAGGAAAAGCATCTTTACGAAAGCTCCACTGCTGAAGAGAGCTGCCAAAACAATACACTGCTTTAAAAGGATTTTTTTGTTGTGTGCATTTGCATGAATGTCTTTTAAAATTGTCAGATCTTATGTGAACCCTTTATCGCAATCTACAGTGACACAACCCTGGAACAACGAAGCCATGTGGCACCAAACTTATTGGTTTGGAGTCATTATGCAGAGCAAATTGTGATTTTATACAACAATGGCTAAGTCTCACCATAAATCCTGTGATTTGTCCTCTCCAGGCCTGAGTGTCAACTGTGTGTCCCCCATACTTTCTCTCTGCAGAGCTGATTGTCATGCCTGGGCCCACACCAATGCCTTCTCATTACCATGTAGGATCACATAGCACCATTTAGCTGCAATTCATTAATTACTGCTGTGCTTCCCTCTGCATACCAAAGAGGAAAACACACACAGGCACGCACACACACACACACAGCCACGCGCACAGACCACTCGGTCGCCATCGCAGATTTACGCTGCATGTCATCATCACCTCGTTTAGCACTCACTGCGGAGAACAATACACCACAATGCACACCCCATTCATCTCCCTGACACATACTCATAGATTACTACAATATAAGACTCAGGGTTCAGGTGCATCACTGTTATTCTCCATAACTGTCACTGAGGTGAAAATCATTTGCCTTTAACTTCGCCTCCTCCAATCCTTCATCCAGCTGCAGTATATTCAGATTCCAGAGAAATGGGATGATACTTTGGATGAACCATATCAGTTGCAAAGAAAATATCAGTGTGACTTATAGTCACCACCAGTGTTTCAACACTAGCAGCATAATGGTACAATATATAGGTGGGATCAATGCACCAAGAAATGTAGCGATGTGTCAACAAAGGCAGGGAGGCTGAAGTGATCTCACTAGAGCCGTGTTCAGACATGAACTGTATAAGACTTTCTGCAGACTTTCAAGCTGCAGGATATTCTCCAGGTCAGATGTGTTCACAACAAGAGAAAACTGTCTGAAACATTCAGGCGAGAGGTGGCGGTTTGCGTAGAGAAGGCAGGAGAGAGGACATGACTTAAAAATTCTACTGAGTAGATCATCACCAACATTCCCAGCTCACCTTGAATAAAATTGTATAAACAAAACACTCTTCAAGTACAAGGCAGAAAAAGATTCTTGTAAGTCTGTTATACAACTTACAAAGCTAACAAAAAAACATTTGTCACCTCTGCTAATTCGAAGAGGCACAATGCAGGTAAAAGATGAACATCTCTCTGACAGGAAACTGGACTGATGCAGCGGCGAACAGTAATAGCTTTTCACAAGTTCAATAAAAACCAAATGATAGGAAACACAAAGATATTAACTAGAAATAAGAGCAGAGGAAATTGGGAGTTAGGCATCATCAACTGACAATTTCCGCAGTATTCCAGCAGAAATGCATGAATTTTTTAAGAGGAAGGCCTAAAGCTAGAGTACACTAGATTAACACATGAAGAACATTATACACATTTCATGCTGTGGTTGTTGGATCACACCTCAGTAGCATCGTATGTGGAGCAAATGTGCAGTAAGGTCTGCTTTTATTATAATGGTAAGATATTTGTGGATCATTACAGTTGCACTCAACTGCAAAAAACAAGCAACACAACATGTATTATAGCATATTATGAGAATCATGTGATGGTGTCAGTGTCCTGTATAACCTCCAACACTCAGTATAATACAGATTTAAAAAACCCTCTGACCTTAAATAACCTGTGTGTTAGTGCCACAGATTATCTGCTTTTATTTCATTAAGGCAGATGATGACAATCCAACACGATATAAACTCAGAGTGCAAACCATGTTACGCAATTCAGAGAACATCTCTTTCTCTCAGACCTCAAAGCATCGAGAGTGTTTTCAACAACGGTGTGTGACGAGGAGTCCAGGTTCATTTTGATTATTTTTTGCTGACTTTTATACATCCTCGTTTTTCTCTTTTGGATTGTCTTCTTTTAAACTGTCCATGCTCCTGCATCATTTTGTCCATTTAACACATGTAAAGCTGCTTGGACATAAATGTAATGAAAAGTTAAACATGTGTGTATCAAACTTTACAAATATTTGATGATAATGATTTTAAATATTACTATGGTTCACTT